TAACGCCGGGGCAAAAGTCCTCCGCAGCCCACGAAGTTAGTTTTCCAGGACGGGCTCCTGGGAGTCCGTGGTGAGGACCACCACTGTGTCGGTAAGGATCAGTGGACCTTATCCGCTCCTCCTTTGGGCAGTACAACCTAGTCGCATCTCCCTGGAGAGTAGCTGGCCTAGAATACAGCTACTCTTTTTTATTATTTACATCTACAGTACCGAAATAGCAAAACAAAACGCACGGTAAATACGCGAAGCACACAGACATTGGCTATTACCACACACCGGTATTATTTGCTACCTACTCGAGACACACCAAGGGATATTTTATAAGCGCAGACAACACAGCCATCCTCCAGCCAACGGTTCCAATGCAGTTGTTCCATCGCTCGCTCCCCATCACCCACTGCTGCACTTTTGTTCTGTCATTCACATTAAACCACTTCTAGGAAAACCAGTCTCTAAGGAAAATACCATGCTAGCACATGCACGAAAGCACTAAGGCTGACGAGAAAGAAACAATCGGAAATAGAAGCAATTGGGCTGTGTTATCTGGATAGTCGTAAGATGAGCTCTAAAAATAATAGTAATAAAATGGTTTCAGATTCTTCTTTTGCTAAAATGACTCAGACTTGCTACTCTCCAGGGTGTCAGTCCATATCGAATTAAGATCCTAGGAGTCAGCGAAGGTGTAGAGGCCATGACTACAACAGAGATGTTTTAAAACGCTCTCTCTTGCAATAAAAAAATCAAGGATTTGGTTTTTACTAATCTTATAAGAATATCCTGACCAGTCTGGGTGATGTTTGTCCAGGAAGCTCACAGGTACATCTGTCAGAACAATAGGCATTACATTTATAAGCATAAATGAATAGTTTCTTTGGAGGTGGGACAGCGTTCCCAAGACAGACATTTTCTGCACTCATGATCCTCCTCCTACTGCAGAACAGTACAATCCCCCAGAACGGAGCTTTGTAGTGACAAGTTTTGTTAAAAGGATCATCAAATATCAGGGTGCAGGCGTTACTTCTAAAATCACAACTCTTTAATAAAGATTCAGTGAGAATAACAGGAGACCTGGCCTGCATTAAGGCAAAGTCATACCCCTGAAGAAGCAGTAGAGATCACAATCCCTGAATCTCAGTGCTTCCCTTTCTGCCAGTCCAAGGGAAAACTTCCACGTCGGTAACAGCAATGAGGATTTATTTTACTGCTGCAATTATTTCAACATGCAAAACTACATCAAAAAATAGCTTTAAGATCAAAGAATAATTGAGGCAACTGAAAAGTAGCAGCTTTCAACAGTAGTGAAAATGAAGCTTTTTTTTTTTCCCTGAAGTTGTACTTTAGTATCAATTTTAAGGATGTTATTAAAAAAATGGGCCAGTTGCTTATTAAATAGTCCAGATACTGTTGTTGTGTATTTTGCCTCTCCTCCCTACCTGACTAGAGATTTTTTGATGCCCAGTTCATCAGTAACAGACTGTGAGTGGTGTTAAAGAATTTGTATTTGCCTTTTCTCACACACAACTTCCTGCTATCTTAAAGCAGATGTCTATCATGACAGTACCTGCTTTCAACTTGCTCAGAGAAAGGCAAACTCTGAGGTTTAGCTATTTCAGCCTCAGGAAAAGCTGGAGGTTCACCGCATTTATTAAAACCACCGAGTTGTATTCAGCGCAGTTTACAGTGCACCATTTTGCACTGGATCGGAGAGAGCTGCTGGCTCCTCTACGGCTTCCTCTGCATTTTGAAGCGCGCCCCTAAGCAAACAATTTTGACGAGTTTGGCTTTGCCCTGGCTTTGCTTTTGCCTGACAACCCCATTTCTGCCTAGCACCAGCTGCAGCTTCAGTCTATTCCTTTCCTTTGCTGGCAAGAGGCACAACAACATTGTTTTAGTAATCTTCATCCTAAACTCTGCAATTCTGCTCTCTTCATACACAAACTCCCACGCGTATAAGCTACCGGTTTGTGTTCTGTTTTCTGTGAACTGTGAAGTTTCCAGAATAAACACTATGATTTAAGAAAAATCCCAACATTATAAAGATGAACAAAACCCTGAGGACAGAGGTAACTGTAATTCCTTTTGCTCATGATCAACTGTAAGACAAATTAAACTGCTTTACTATGATGTGCAATGTTTAGTGATTGTTTTATTAATGCAGAAATATCTGCTTAACTTCATACCCATTCTGATTTAAAGTGCAACAATTAAATCTGATACTTCTTGTACATCCATGTTTTGCAAGTGCTGTTCCTAAAAGACATGTCGTTCAGATTATGCCTTGCATTTGTAAAATCTGTCATTTTTTAGTACTGTTTTGCTTTATTAACTAAAATAAACTGTACAAAAAGCTGTAGAGTTACATTAGCTTTGAACAATGTAGGATACACGTTCTCTGCCGAACTTCAGTGTGCAAATATTTTACATTTTTTAAAGTGACAAAATTAAGCCAACCTTGAAGTCAGAGTTCATTACTACATTACAAAACAGGAGACTAGATACGGCAAAAGAAATTCCCCACTGAAATCAACACCGTTGTATAATTTTATTTCTAATTCTTAAAAAAATATAAATGAATTTAGAAGAGAATCACAGTATAAGGGCCCTAACATATTAGACCATTACAAGGTACATAAAAATAGAAGACACAGATTTCTTTGAAACTTTAATCCTTTGATTAAGCAGCAAGCATATCACTCTCCAGGCAAACACTGCTTAAAACAAACCCTACCCCCCAAAACAGGACGTGCAAACTGTATGCACATATTCTGCAAAGCACACAATAAAGACATTTTCCTATGTACATACTTATTTAGTACTACAAATGCTAGGAGTTCCCTACTGTGTGCTACAGTGTATGTAAATTAAGAAATACTACCCATCTCTGACCCTCCCTCCCCCCTTCAAATACAGCACCTTTGCCCAGTTGTATGATATTTAAACAAGATTAAACGGAATTACAATGTACTGAACAGTTTTATAGCAGTTGGTGGTGGCCAACTGTACTGCAACACCCAACATTCTGCATACTGAAGTCTATCGACAAGAGACAAGACAAAAATTAGCCAAGGTACAATACACACATCTGGGAGACTCAATGCTAAAAAAAAAAATAAGAAAAAAAAAAGAAATCCTGAAGATGTATCTTATCACTAATAAGAATTAAACTGACATACTTAGGATGTCAAAATGTACCGGATTGGTTTCGTATCTGTTTTAAAAACTGGAGAGCAGCCAGATTTGTGTGTAGCTGGTGAGGGGACACTCAGGACTCCCAGAACACAAGTTTCAGTGACCACGAATTCCTCGGTGCTTGTTTTACAATGCTGCTTTTCTTAGACGAGAGGTCATCTGATGCTCACATAGTGACTAAGCATCTACGCTGATGCAAAAGAAAAACTAAGAAGGATCTTTTGTACGTGACCTCAGCACACCAGTGAAAGCTGTTTGGAAAGAAAAGTCTGATCTGAAAATATTTTTAAATGAAGAACTAAACCATAAAGGTCAACACCTTAACTGCAAGTCAGGCCACAACTATCAAAGTTTAATGCTAGATTTACAAACGAAATAGGATCTGATGCTACAAGAACTTCCCTTTGCATATAAAAAAAAAAGACCTTAGCCAGCTGCTAAACTGATTGTTAGACCTTCTGATTTATCTGTGAAAAAGCCGAGGGAGAGCACATTCAATTTCCAAAGAAAGTCTCATTTTAGTCAAGGGCAAATCTAGTTAATAACAAAATGGATTTAAAAGGATTTTCAAACACCATTTCAGCTATAAGTAAAAATAATTTTCTAGAATATTATGGTAGTCAACATGAATGTTACTACACAGTCAAGAATGCAACATGAATATTTTTCAATAGCTTGATTCGGATCACAGTTTCAAACAGTGCTACACAAATTTGCAGCCTGGTTTACTTGGAGAGTAGAGTCATCTACTTTAATAAAAAAATACTAAAAAAAAAAACCCACCCCAAGACATTGCTGGGCATAAATCAAGGTTTCAGACAACAAGAACAGTTTAATGAATGCAGTGAAAAGAAAACTTTTCAATTATCTAGAATTTGGAAGCAATAATTAATATGCAAATTCAGATTTTACTTAAGTCAATAAAACAAAACAAACAAACACCCCATGACAGCCTCAACCCAGCTAATTAACTCCACCAGAAATAGCAGAAATCAGAGATAATATAACAGTAAGACTGGGCTGGCAGCAGGTAACTATTGCCACAGTATTCTACCACCACCATCAGCCTCTATACTTCCCTCATGACTTCTTAGGCAAGATATCAATGATCTAACATACACGAACTGCAGACAGCCATTCTCAGAGGAATGAAACTCTACTGTACTTAAGTTAGAAGAATTAGTGGAATAACAAATTAAATTAATAGTTCTTGCTATACAGTTCCTCTCCTGTCATCCCCCTGGGTGGTGGAAGTTGCTGCCTCTCTCTCCACCCCAGCCCACAAGAGATATCGCAGCAGGAAACTGGACTCCTGTTTACAGTTAACTTTTACGAGTAGAACACACGTGAGATTTAATTAAGTTTGGTACAATAGCTCACTGAGTCTTCAGAATACTCTTTCAGAGGAGCATATAATAAGACAGTACCTTTTTAAACAAGAAAAAGTGTCCTGGGAAAAACACGAAGAGAACAAAACACCTACATTTTACAAGTGCGTGAAATGCTTCTACTGTTATCTAAACAGGGCCAAAAATTCTGAACCTAAGGCCTTTTTTTTTTTTCCACTAAAAATTAAAAAAAAAATGAAATCCACACACACACACAAAAAACCCAACGCTACATTTAAGCTTCCTACAATATTATCTATTCCTAGATTTGCCAGACTACTTTCCTGTAGTTAGATGCTTGACTACAAAGAACTGTAATAAAATAAATAGAGTAAAAATCAGTTAAACAAAATCTTGGTGTGTTGAACATTTATTCATTTAAGAAGTTAGCTTCCTTCAACAGTTATTCATATAGAGGAGGGCTGCACTGTAGGCATTGTTCTGCTGTACAAGTCTTGGACATAAAAATATTTTTATACAGGTGGTTGTTCACGTGGTTCCATTCCTAGTTATCAGCTCGCTCCTCGGTAAAACTGGTCTGATACCTGTGAAGGCTTGCTCTTTTCTCCCCTTCATCATTTGGAAAAAAAAAAAAAAAAGTCCATCGATAACAATTTTTTCAAATGTAGGAGTTAGCATAATTCCGCTTTATTTCTTCAGTGCAGAGTGGACTGAGATTCTGTCTGAATTCCAATAAGCGAGGGCGGCTGCTGGCCGCTAACCGTGGTTAACACCGGCCTTGGGTTTAGACGAGGAGGCATGGAATTAGCTGGGCGGATGAGTGGTGGGGGAGGCTGATTTAGAGTCGGCCTTGGCTGAATAAATCGCGCCTGCTGTTGTAGTGGCGGAGGCTGACGATGGAGAGCAGGAGCAGCAGGAAGCGCTGGACGAAGTAACGGGGGCGGCTGATTTAAAGTTGCCATGGGAGCGGTAGGTGCTGGAGCAGATGCCTGTGCTGGAGGTGAAGGGCCTAAACACTGAGTGGCCGGAGTGCTTTGTGCCTGCACAAAGGACAAAGACAAGACCGCGTGAACAGCCGTCCCAGCCAGAACACGATGCCGTTGGGCTGCCACTGTCCACTACACAGGAAACAGCATTTAAAAAACAAAACCAAAAAACTGAGAAGTTACTGAAAAGAAATCACCAACCAAAACATTATAGACAGCAGAACTAAAAATATTTACGAAGCAAGAGTCTTCTTCTAGAACAAGAACTGTATTTTAACAATAAAACAGTAACGTGATCGTCACTATGAAAGGTGCAGTCCTGTTCCCAGCTGGTTAACGACATTGGCTGAAGTTCTATGCAAGCTCGTCATCATTCTTTAGAATGCGGTTTGCCACTCCACACCAGTTAACCTTACATTACATCACTAAATAAAATGCTGTTCCTCAACCCATGCTTACTTATTTCTGGTACACAAAACACACCTCATCTTCTTCATCAGTGCTCTTTCCTGATGGTACATTAGAAGTATTTTTTGTGTCCTCCCCTAAAGCAGAAGCATCACCATTAGAAGCCAGGGTTCCTTGTTCCGCTTCCCATTCCTGCAATACCTCCTCTAAGTTAAACCGACGCCTGTAGTTTACAAAGAAGTTCTTCACTTGGCCAACAGTCTTGTTGCCAATTACATCTGCAATAGCTTGAAAATCTTTACCATATTTTCGGACACCTGGAAGGCAAAGTAAATAACATAGCTGTGAAGAATCAGTCAGACACAGCTACGTGTGATGTATTTATAGAGAGAACCTATGGGACCTGCAAACCAAGGACTCGCTAATTAGGAGGACTTCTCAATTAGGAGGAGGCCTCAATTTCCATTAAAACAAAGTAATTTTTAATTGCACAGCTATCAACATACAAATCAAGAACTTTATTAAAAAGTCATTACCCACTCTTCTTAAAGGTCCTGGCTTACTCACCAAGCCTCCCAACCTAAAAACCACACAGATCTGGCCTCTGACAAATAAAGTAAATCCCTCAGTGTGCTTGCAGAAAGGGCAGAAGCCCAAGACAAGTTCGAGATGGGAGAGGGAGGGTGACTGAACATGTGTGTAGAACTGTAAACAGGGTATAACACTAGAAATGTCAAGTGACAAATGCTGACAGCTGCTACAGGTTCCCCCGTGCCAGCTGCACGCGGATGTTTTTTTGCCTACAACCTGTGCAGCAGGAGTGGCAGAGGGCAGTAGCTACTGGACGACGCACAGGGCAGAACAGGGGTACAGTTCCGTAAGTCACAATATACAGCTCATTTCTCCACTCGTGACATACACTAACAAGGCTACAAAGAGCAGTTGGCAAGTGTTCGCCTGACAAAGTCTTTTAAAGCTTTCATTCACCATTTGAGCTGGGTAGAAGAATCTGGGGTTTGGGGACAGCTGCCTTGGAGAATGTAAGAAATATAAACTATTGGTATCTCTTTGTAAGACAGCCCAGCACAAGTCTCCAGCATCAAATCCTCCAGCAAGCAGCAGCACGACAGATCTTTGCATCGTTCTTTTCATTCATTTTCCTATTGACATCAGTAGATCCCTTTTGTTTACCAGCACTTCCTAAGAAAATGCTGCCGGTCCTTTCTAAAAATTCCAACATACGCTTTTTAAAGTTCTAAACCTACATTTGCATACAACACACAAAAAAAACCTTGAGTACAGCATTTTGTAGTTTTTAATCTAAAATTAGACTTATAATCTAAAGTTTATTGATTTTCCCTCAGTTGCATTTATGATATGTGCCTAGTTCCTCCTCTCTCCTGCATAAGAAAAAAAATCCTCAAACTCTCCAGAATCCTAAAACACAGGTTTTAGCTGCACAAAGTCTATTTTTAATCACGAGCATCCAAAAGTTTGGAGACTAGGAGAAATAAAACAGAGTTTTATTCCAGACTCGGTGAACAGAAGACTAATTTTTTGCTCTCAGCTATGCATGAGTGAACCGCAATTTGACTACTTCTGTGAAGCTCCTGAAAACTAAACTCATTCGGAACACATTACAGTGCTTAGAGGACAGGCAGTCTGTCTCATTATAGGAGGAGAAATTTATGCCTGATTTCATGCCTCACTTCAGAAAGCGAAGCAAAGGATTCAGAAAGTGAGAGTTGTTTCAAATCTGGAAGCTATGTTCCTTTTCAACTTAATTGTGAAGAGTATGACCTTCAGCTTGTTCTGCTCTTTTCTACTTTCTTTGTTAATAGGCACTTCCAATGTGGTAATGTACACTCAGTGCAATTTAAGAGAAAAATTCAGCTCTAGGATAGTAACAATTTCTGCAGCTGAAGTTGATGTTTCAACTGTCAAGAGCCCAGCTACATTATTTAAGATCGTTTTTCTGGGGCATACAAAAGAATCCAACCATCCTGGCTGCAAGAACCTTGGAAAGAAAACAAAGGGACCTAGCAGAGCCACGTGGGAGGGCATGTATCTAGGCAAGGCAAAGACAGGGATTCGGCTCTGCGCTTTATCAGTTGTACGAGGTATCAGCTATACTCCTTAAAAGCTGTCTGTGTCCACAGAGGATTCCCTCCAGTGTTTCAATATTCTTTGATTGCCTTATCGTTACCACCCTTGCTAATTTATAATGATCATTAAACGTCCACTGCAACATATCTAACTGAACAAAGTGCCCAGCAGAACAAAGCACACTTTTGTTTGAAACCTAATTCAGACTTCTGGTGATTTCAGCCTTTTCTGTTACTATGCTGTCTATACTTCTTCCTTGCCCTTAATCTGCAAAATGACTGAGTCTATTGGCTAACTTCCAGTAAAGTTATCAAAAATAAGGTCTTAAAGCCTGTTTCCAAGCAAACAGCTTGAAAATAGCATATCTTGCCTTCACTGAGAGCCCAACTATAACAAACAGTAAAACAAAATAAAATCTCCTTAGTTTAGCTACACATAGCACTACTCGTTTTGGATTTTTTTCATAATGTTATTTAGTACTGCTCTAGCATCACCACGGTGACTTCTACACAATGATGTGGTAGAACCCTTTTAAGCTGTGTCAGAAACAGAGGAAGTTCAATACACGTTTATGAAAGTTTTAAGCATGTGGTGCTGGCATATCTATAAAAGTTGATGCCAACTCATCATCCCTTTCAAACTGGTGCACATTAGTTACTTAGACATCCTTACACAAATTCTGTGCTAAACATTACGCAAATTATTTCTAAAGTGTTTAATCTGTTATTCAGTAAGAATAATTAGGTGGCTGAAACTGAAGCTCAGAAGATGACTGCATAGCCTCACTTCACATGGATGAATCCCTCTCTCCCAGCTCATTTGAAAGTAGCCCTGATCATGGGACTCCTTCAAGCTCTTCAAAACTTCGCCTAGTTGCAAAGGCGCACTTGAACGTGAATGTGCTCAGTATTATACAATGTTTCATCTTGAATGTCTGACTCAGAGAAACTCACAAATCCAAGTTCCATGCTGTCTACACTGCTTAACACTGTGAAGCAAAGCAAACACCAACAGGCACACAAAATATTAGCCTGGGTCCAAAGCAATTTAATACAGCATCACAACGAGGCAGAAATAGTTAACAGCAACCTCTGGGTTATGAGAGCTGCAATTTCACTGTGATGGGATTACAGGGCTCCTGGCAACTAACTCATGTAGAGTTAGATCCTGGTTGTCCCAACTGTTTTCCACTGTGATGTCGTGGAAGTCATGCACTGCTTTTCAATTCAAATTTTGTTGTTTTGAACAAGTCTTAAAACATTTTTGCAATTGCAATTTTCATATGGCTGAGATCTTCCTCTGAAAAGATGATCGCGCTCATACATTTCTATTCATAAATACAGTTTGTAACTTAGGAACACCTCAAGTGATTAGCTGGCCCACTACATTCAGTAACTATTCAGACCAAGTTCAACAGGAACCCAATAAATTATACTGCAAAAGATTGGCTCAGAGATCCTAAGTCTGAGTCCACAACCCCATTGCAGGCAGCCACGCTGCTTTTAAGATTACACACTCAGCTCTATTTTAAGATGGGTTTTTTCATTACCTCCTCTTTAGTTACTACCACTCTCTTGAGATTAGCCCACAGATACAAGAGTTTTTTCATGTTTAGGAAAAACAGTACCAAAATTATATCACTGCAGATTATTTTTATGATTTTCATCGTAGGATTTAATGTCTGAATTCAAGTGAACAAATCACAGAAGTGCCACCTACCTGCTTAACGCTTATGATTTCTGTAAAATTATTAAAAGCACATGACAAAACGTTATCAATACATTTGATGAAATAAATCTGTTTTTAAATGTACAAACTAAATGTCCCCATGCTCACGTCAACTTTGAAGTTCAAGTCTAACACACATTATGGTAGCTTTTAGTACAGCAACCATAGCTACTTTCTTTTAAAAACAGAGTCAGGGCAAAAGACAGTGTGGCTCCTTCATGCGTAAGTCTACCAGCTTGAGCAATTATTTTGAAACAAGGGATCATAGTCCTTAGCCTGAGGGACAGGAGGTTAATACCTATAGCACACTCATTCCAGAAGGGAGACTCTACTACCAGGCAGCAGGTAAGGGAGGTATAATAAGAATAATTTGTCTCTGGCATTAAGGTGCTCTCCCATCTGCATTTTATACGGTGGCAAAAGAAGGGGACTAAAAAGGAAATAATACATATAAGAAGCACATGTAAATTCAACGAAAACAGATGTCTTCCAGAAGGCCTGATTTCCCACCCCACCCTTAAGTATTGAGGCTGACTAGCTTTATAAAACACATAACATTCCCTAGGGAAGACTAGAACTCCTCTCTAGGGAGCCATCACCAACCCTCATTCTCTTTACCCATGCTCCAGTATTATTATTTACCTTGTCAGTCATGTAGTTCCATAGCTTAAAAAAAGCTCAATGCATTCTTATTGCTTCCCAAACTGATGCTTAGGTGAGAGCTCCAATAACTAAACTATGAAAATGCAAAATGGTTTCAATCCTTTCATGCTAAGGCAGGCACAATGAACCTGGATTTCTCCCACTTCTCCAGCAAGCATTCGACTTACTAGAATATCACATTAAAGATAGGCTTCTCCTTCAGTTGCATTTGGGAACAAAATAAAAGAGTGAGCTTGTTAGCAATACTGAGGGGATGAACTTAAGACAGAAAACAGATTGGAGATGTAAATCTTAGTCTGAGGCATGTAAGTTGAGAGGCATGACTTCAGACACAACACTCTTCAGCATTTCCATTCATGCTTCAAAATAATCCTAACTTTAGGTTCAGTCATCTAGCTAACAACTACCAGGTATGGCACACCTGACAACTTTACATTGATACCCTGATACAGTTGGAAGTTTTACACTAAAATTCAGTCTTTCACTTTAAAAGAACACAGAGAAATAAAGCAGATGTGTGTAACTGAGCTGATTATATTAGCTTAAAAAAAAATCCATAGAAGTCAGTATATAGTGACTTTGAGACAGCATTAGGCTCTCCAGATATTCATCTTGCACGTTCCTAGATTAGGCAGTGCATGTTAAAGTAAGACAAAAGTCAGTTCTCCTTCATATAAGCGAAATAACTACAAATTAGCTGTATCAATTGTCTGCTAAAAAATGCTGGTTTTTTTCCAATAAGACTGCTAGTCAAGTATCCATATCCAGCTTCAGACTCTTAAAGGGCCTCCACTTGGTAGATATCTGCTCTTTTATTCTCTCATGAACAGAGAAAACGTAACTAAAGTAGTTTTACGTCTGTTTTTTCCCACTTTAAGAATATGGAGAGACATCTTAAGAAGTGTTTGCTTCAAATTTTATTACTTCAACTATTACTTCAGTCTTCCACTTCAGAGAAATTCACGTAAGGTTATTTGAAGATGATTGAAGGGACTTTTGGGTACTACTACAGTTGTTAAACCCAGCTTAGCTCTTCCATTCAAGATTTAATGGGTAACTGAAAGACTAGTGTCATGTTGCTTGAATGAATGCGCTAAATATTCTCACTAGTGTTGCTGTTTTCCCAGTGATTTTCTTGTAAGACCAGGTAAAAGTTTAGTTTTTCATTAGAGGGAAATACAAACATAAGCCCGAGTACCTCTTCAAATCCTTCGCATTGGATTTCGTGTCGCTACTACTATTAACATACCTTGTACTGCAAGAAGCTGCTCTTCTGTGGTCCAACGGGCATTGATTTTCTGATTAGACTATTAAAATTAGAAAAATGGCACAAGGATCATTAAAATGTTTCAACACCTGCAAAATATCTGAGCATCAGAATGTTTTACTTGTACTACATTTTGTAACATAGGTAAAAAATCTCTTGCTTATAAACCATAAATTTATAGTTTAAGATTGCTTTCATGAAGAGGAAGTAGCGTTTAAGGATTTGAGCTTAGAACTACACCAATAGTTTTTCCTCTGTTTTATTGCAGTTCTTAGTATCAGCTATATCATAACTTATGCACAAGCTAATGATCTTTATGCAGACAGAATCTGAATTTATAGTTAAGTTTATCTAAACTATTAGAACTTGGTATCTGGAGTGTTCTGCATTGACATTATGTTTCATATTCAAGCCTTTAAAGCAAGCAGAAAGAGAACTTCAGAGTAATAAATCATTCACTTTGGATGCCCAAATGTATATATAGTCATGTTTTCACACAGAACATAGAATTTACTGCTAGCAATCTACATTAACTACTTTGAATCAGGAAAAAAAAAAAAATCCACATATCAGGGCACAATCTCAGCTTCCTATTGTCATGAATAGACATGATATTTCAGTTTCTTCTGCTTCTTTTTTCAGCCAGTTGCCATTAAAAAAAGCCTACCTCTAATTTCTTGTGAAGAAGCTAGACAGACTCACCCCTGCCTGTAATTCAATGGATCCTGTTTAAGCTGCTGCTGTAATGCAAACACTACGCTGCCGCAAAACACATTTCTGTAGCTTCCCACCAATGTAAGTGCAAGGCCACAAGTTCTAATATTTATCCTGATTTACCTCAGGAGGTTTGAATTCTTCAATCCCGCCTTCCATTTTCTGTTTAAGTGCACTGTTTACTTGCTTAGCATTTTGAACCTTGGTCAAAAACAACAAAGTTAATCAGCTCCACAAAGAAAGTTGGTCACTTTACACATATATCTTCACTAGGATTGCCACAAGTGTACCTCCTAAGTTAGAAAGAGAAATATTATGGTTTAAGGCTTCACTACTTTTAACTGTTTAAAAAAAAAATAATTAAAAAATACAGCACAGTTTACTAAGGAGAGAAAAATATTTAAGCCAGTCTTTCAGAAGAACAGTTTGTCTGCTGGAATCAAGTTTTGATAATGATGCATCTGTTCTTGAAGAAGAACGCAGTATATTCTAGATAGAAAACTTAGTTCTTAGAAATCTAAGTGAGACGTACTGTATACATTAACTTCTTCCTTCTCCAAAAAGCACTTTGGGGGAAAAAAAAAAAAAAGATTTATGAGATGTTTTCAGTTAGTTCCTTCTGACAGACTGCTTTTTGTTGACCTTAGATCATCATTATTTCCTTTAAGGATCATTCTTGTCATGATTTAAAATATTTAAATAAAATCTTAGTCTATAAAAAGGAGAAAGCTTCCAAATCATACTATTAACCATTTAAACCTGACAGTGATACACATAAGGTAACATAGGTAAAAAAATAGTTTTGCATACTATGGTGCACAGCTATTACAAATGTTCTTTAAGTATGGACACAAAAGCAGACAACTCAGTGGGAGATTCCAAAGGCTGCATCTCTGAGATCACTGCAAGAAAAAAAAAAGAGAAACACAACCTCAAGGCTGTAACTCACCTACACTTAGGCTAAAGTGCCAAACCCACCTATGCTATTTAGCCCCAGAGTCCTGCTGTGACAGAAAGAAGCACATTTCTCCTGTAAAAGAATACAAGGGAGCAAAAACCCCACGAAACCCTTTATTCATTTCATGATTTTGCAACTTTGACAGCTCTTGGCTATCTATAAGAAGGCAGAAATTCCAGGAGATAAGCCTCAACTCTGTAGCCCCGTTGCTCCTAGAAAGCAAGCATGCACATACTGCTGTACCCTTAGAAGCTGAATAGATTCTGTGTTTCAACTTTAAGTGCCAAAAGTCAACTTCTTCATGCATGGGACACAGGCAATTATCCTTTTGAAGGTGAAGACTACAAAGCTTTTCTAAACTGAATAAGTAGTTGTCCTGATTTTTGACTAGGACAGTTAGTTTTTAGCAGCTAGAAGAGCTGTGTTTTGGATTTGGCATGGGATTTGTTATGAGAAGAATGTTGATAGCGCACTGATGTTTATGGTTGGCACTCAGACCTCAAGGACTTTTCAGCTTGCTGTGTTTTTGCCCCCCAACAGGCTGGAGGGGAGCGTAGCTGAGACCAAGTGTCCACAACTCCTCTTATGATTTGAACTTAGACTTAGGATTGAAGGATAAATCAGCCAATGGCATATTTCATATTACGCAATGTCATGCCCAGTATATAGATGAGGGTTGATCAGGAAGAAGTTCTCATTCTCTTCTGTGGGACTCTCTCTCTACATCTCTTAGAGTTCTTTCTCTCTCTCTTTTTGGGCATCTCACTCATGCAAGATTGCAGTGTTGGGACTTATCTGTTTCAGAATCATCTACCAGGATGGGACAGGCATTGGTCACAGGTGGTGAGCAATTATGCTGTGCATCACTTGTTTGTATATATTAGTATTATCATCATTATATATATTCATTCATTATTATTATTTTATCATTATTACTTTTAAATTTCATATTGTTATTATTGATTTGTTCTTATATCAACCCATGAGTCTCCTTCCCTTTTCCCCAGGGGCGAGGGAGGGTGAGTGAGCAGCTGTGTGGCATTTAGGTGCTGGCTGGGTTAAATCACGAGAGAAGTAGAAAGCTCATCAATTCAAACTGAGAAATAACTAGGCCCATGATTTCACTCCCCTATGCTTTCATGGCATGTGGGGAAGGACATCCAGAAAAACAGCTACGATTTTAAACATAACGAATATAACTTCCACTGCTTCATGAGTCTTATTCTTAATTGTACGTGAAAGCTTTCAACAAAGTTAAAAAAAAAGAAAAAAAATCAGACACGACCTCAGTTTCCTCTGGTCTCCAAATCTGTAACACTGTTTTCACACCATACTCCCATCCCACCCTTTTTTTTTTCTAAAAGGAAGTAATCTTGTTTCATGTTATCCATAAGAGCAGATGAGCATAAAAAACCAAAACCAAAGAATAGCCAGTCCATGTCCAGCATTTCTGGTTATAACTGTGGAACAAAATTAGGAAGACTCACATTAAAGAAGTTTCAGAATCTTCACAGATAATCTTCAAAATCATTACAATCAGAACAATCTGAGATGAAAACAAAGCAAGACCAATAACCCATGGTACCTGTCGCTTTAATGAGATTAGTTCCATATCCAGCTGTCTAAGAATTGTGTTGGCTGCATTGGGACTACAGGAAACAGCTATCACATCTTCCTGGGTCAGGTACATGCCTTTTGGTGGACGGCATTTGGAACGCTGAGAATGGTGGCGATGCTGCAAGCTCTGATACTCTCTTCTACCCAGACCTATTTTGCTGGTCTGAACAGGCTGCTCATTATTGCCCTTTAATTTACAAGAAATAAATCATTAAAGAATAACAGTATCTTGTATACAACTTTAATAAAGAATAAAGTACCACATAGCATTGTAATGTCATGTTTATGACCAAGAAAACTTAAGCTAATAACCTCCTCTGCATGTAGCATCCAAACTAAGTCTTGGAGGCGAGCTGATGGAGCACACCAGTCGTCAGCTGGATAAGCCTGCACTAGTCTTAGAAAGGTCAGTTTTCAAAACTTTTTTTTTTAAAACGTGGTTGAAATTACAATAAATGGTATAGACACCACAGTCTGAATACTGTGAAAGAGGGCAAAAAACTGAGAACCTCTTATGCAGAAGGTAAAGAATACACATATTAAACATTTAAACCAAGTAATTGGTGAATTTACAGATTTATTTCTGATCAGATATGAAGAGTTCAGGTGATGATCAGGGGAGAAGAATGACAGAAAGTCAACCAGGATTAGCAAGAATGCAAGATGACACCTTTCCCTGCTGCAAGCACTCTATGGAAAGCGCTAGCACTCTTTGATTTGGAAGGGGATTTGAGATTTGGAAGAGAGGATGGATGTACTTTTGCAGTCATTAGAAAAATGCATGTAGTTTAGCAAACATAAGCCTTTGTTGTTTGCTTTTTTGATGTGAAAAGGGATAGCAGAGTGGAGATGAAGTCTTCGTAACTGCTGTTTCGATATGTTTGGACACCTTAAAATGTCAGCTTTGTCTTCACTGGGCATTGCTGCACAACAGCTAGTCTGCATGTGTGTGACTCCCATACAGCAACCAGGTAGGTTACAGACCAGGAGTAGAGAAGCAAAAACTACTTTCCTTGCAAGGATTTTCCAATTCAAAGCAATGCTTAGTACCAGAACAGAGATGGGATTCAGGCTTTTTGCTACTTCAAGCAGCTCCCTACTGCTACTTCCTGCTGGCATCCATGCAGGTAAAGAGGAGGTGGTCATCTGATCACAGTGAAGAGAAAACAAATTGCAGCAGCCATTATTATGTTCTGTAGCATTAATACACAGGAGCAAACAGTATTTTGCTCTACTATGCTTGACCTTCTGCCACATCCTCTTCCCAGCTAATGTAACATCTTAATCCAGTCCACAGACTTCACAGAGGCAATCTTAAAGCACTTAAGATACTTGCTCTTCCTTGGAAAGTTGATATAGAGCCTCACGTCTTTGACACCTGAAAATCCCAAGGTTAAGTTTACTTCTGGTCTGTTTACACCATTGTTTTTTTGGTTCTGCATTGCTCTTTCGGTATGAAATTGCAGTTCCTGTCTGTCCAATCTGGATTTAAAATGAAAATATTCTCTCAACTTTTGTCTTGCTAAGCTAGAGTGTTAGACTTGTTTCACTTTTCTCTGGTAACAGAAAGTTTCCATTGCTCTGCACATTCAAATAGCCTACTCAGTTTATGTTTTGCTTAGGAAATGAAAGGACACCAATCCTACCAAAAGCATTAGATCACAAAATTATGCTATGTAGATCCAAGCAGCTCAGCAGAAACTGCAAACCTATTTGTCCTATTCCTAGAAGTCTATGAACATACTACTGTCGTTCTGGACTGTGTGTAGTGATTCAAACAATAACTAAGGAAAGCAAATTCAATAGAATAGCCCTTATTTAGAAGGGGCTTAGGCAGCAACTCAAATCAACGGATTGCAAGAACACTGTTACAACAGCAGAATGAAAAGTAAGAAGGTTCATTATTAGACCTTGCACTATTTCAAGTTCTAAAAAACATATCCTGGCATGTTAAAAAAATTAAAATCTCAAACTCTTTTACAGAAGGGGGTAATTGTAATTGTCTTCCCCCCCCCAACCC